AAGTGCTCTGACAGAGTTAAAACATGTGAAACTGGCAGCTCCCACTACCGTGCTATGACCAAGCAGGGTAAAGGAATAGCATTACTACTTGTTAGGGAGACTTCTATATATGTCGACCTCCATCCCCAACGGACAGGCAGACCTGCAAAAATGCTCAACCCTTCATCATATCTGAGAGGGCACTCCCAACGAAGCCTTTCGAAATATTCAGCTTTCTTTCCCCCCGATAATACCTCTGCAAACAAGCTATACTAGAGCAAGAATATCTCATATCATCAGGGTTAAAAGCAAGAGTATCCCATATCATGCTTTTTCCCTGTCTTTTCCTTTGGCCTTGTTTTTACCTGCAAGACAAGGAGAAAGAGAGCAATCAGTCAGCACTTGGAATCAAGCTTCCAGCCAGGAACTGACTGCCTGGAACCCCTTACCTGATTACTTACCTGGCATTGCTCTCGAGTACTCATCTTCAACATCTTATGTTTCCAGGGAAGATTCCGCATTTGCTTGAGGAACAGATAGGGCAAGTGCGAAGGATACAAGGAAGCATGTGGAGACAAGCGTAACAGCACACGTGCCGATACATCCATTACTCTGTCAAAAGCAAAAAGTATCCCATATCAGCAGGGTGGAACGTACTCTAGATTTGATGGACTTGTTTTGACCCTCAAATTCTTCAGTCGGCCTTATACTCTGGAGGAAACCAGAAAACCCTCCAGCTCAGTTCAAGAATAAGCCTGTGGAAAGTTACTTCTTCAAAAGCAAAAGTATCTCATATCATCTCTTCTCATTTTTCTTCTCTTTATCCTTCATGCTGTTGCAAGATGGGGAGAAGGTGAACAATCAGTCGGAGCTCTGATTGCTTACCTTGTCTGTCACCTTTTTCAGCAGACCCCCTAGCTCGGCGACTTGGGGGACTCCTACTACATGGTTTGTATCGCGCTTGACCAAGCCTGAAACTACAAGTAAGCTTCAAGTGAAATTGATACATTACCTTGTGCATCTCCACCAGTTAAAGATACCACCCCTGGATGGAGGAAGAGTACTTCCAGAGAAGATGCCACATCTACCTATGAGACAGATAAGGCAAGTCAAGACGACTCCACACTCCGATACTTAGAAGTTTCGTGATTACGAGATCATTCTCCCACAATATTTCCTAATGTCATTTGTACTAAATCATTCACTTGTACTCACTAAAGGAGAGCTTGAACCTATGTACTTGTGTAAACCCTTCACAATTAATGAGAACTCTTCTATTCCGTGGACGTAGCCAATATGGGTGAACCACGTACATCTTGTGTTTGCTTTCCTATCTCTATCCATTTATATACTTATCCACACTAATGACTGGAGCAATCTAGCGAAGATCACAAAAAGCGACCGTTTTCGCTACCTAGAATCTATCTTGCAAGAGAACGGAGAATTAGATGGAGATCTCAACCATAGAATACGAGCTGGATGAATGAAGTGTAAGAATGCATCCGGCATGTTGTGTGACCGTCGTAGGCCACTGAAGCTCAAGGGAAAATTTTATAGGACGGCAATAAGGCCAGCGATGTTGTATGGCACATAATGTTGGGCGGTGAAGCATCAACACGTACACAAAATGGGTGTAGCGGAGATGAGGATGCTTCGTGGGATGTGTGGGCACACGAGAAAGGATAAGATTGGGAATGAGGATATCCGATGTAAAGTAGGAGTAGCCAAAATTGTAGGAAAGATGAGAGAAAATCGGCTCCGGTGATTTGGACATGTGCAAAGAAGGCCGAATGACGCTCCGGTTCGAAGATGTGACTACGGGACAGAGGTTCAGGGCCGAAGGGGTAGAGGAAGACCTAGGAAAACTTTGGAAGAGACTCTAAGAAAAGACTTAGAGTACTTGGATCTAACGGAGGACATGACACAAAACCGAGCGTAATGGCGTTCTAGGATTCATATAGCCGACCCCACTTAGTGGGAAAAGGCTTTGTTGTTGTTGTTGTTGTTGTTGTAATTTTTCTCTCATCCACTTTCCCCCAATCCTTAAGACATGGAAGTTCATGTAGTTTTACAACTATTTCTATTCAGATGAGTATTTAATTCAGCTTGTTTTGAGTTGATAACATTTCAATGTTTCTCATTAGAAATGAAAATACAGCCAGGTTTGAGTTTCAATCAAATTGACCTGTCGAGTTTGAGGAAGGTTTTATAGAGGAGCTCATTATTATATTTAGATTTTAGAAACAATAGCCATAAATATTTTGAGCTTTTAATCATCACTCATTAGCTGATTTAAGAAGTCAAATCTGTTTTTCCTGTTCAATTGGTTTAAAATATGATGAAGATGCTACTTTTATAGGCTGTTATACTGGTTATGCATATTTCTACCTTTACAGGTTAGTGGAATGCCAACATTCTGTGTTCCTGTTGAAGATGGTGGTGTTGGATTTGATTATCGCCTGCATATGGCTATTGCTGATAAATGGATTGAGCTCCTCCAGTAAGTTGCGATACAAAAGCATATCTGCTCCATTTTTAAAGTTAGAATGTCTTTTATCTCTGATGTAGGTGGCATTTGTGAAAAAAAACTAATTAGCTTTGGTTGACATTGTCGCATGAAATTTGATGTAGGAAAATGGATGAAGAGTGGCAAATGGGTGATATTGTTTTCACACTCACCAACAGAAGGTGGGGGGAGAATTGTGTTGCTTATGCCGAAAGTCATGACCAAGCTCTTGTTGGTGACAAAACAATTGCATTTTGGCTGATGGACAAGGTTATACAAGTTTTCGTTGCATTTTGCATATCTCGTAACTTGAAGGATGTGTATACTTTGGTTTCTTGTATTAGAATTATTTGTCTAATATTCTATGCTTCTCTCAGGATATGTATGATTTCATGGCTCTGGATAGACCATCAACTCCCCTTATAGATCGTGGAATAGCATTACATAAAATGATTAGGCTTATTACTATGGGATTAGGCGGAGAAGGATATCTGAATTTCATGGGAAATGAATTTGGACATCCTGGTAAGATTAGGCCAAAATGTGATATTGTACATCATCATTCTGTCGAGCTGCCATTCATTTTTATATTTGTGTTTATTTTTCTCTTCAGAGTGGATTGATTTTCCAAGAGGCGTTCAACATCTTCCAAATGGAAAAATAGTCCCTGGGAACAATAACAGTTTTGACAAATGCCGACGTAGATTTGATCTTGTAAGTTCTTACTATCCATGAAGCATGCCTGTTAGTTTATATCACTTTTGTGCATCAACATTTTGGTAATTATGTAACAAGAATTTGTGTTTAGTTCAGATGGTGGCTAATTGAAGCAATGCATGATTCCTAAGAGATTTTTCAGTTGTGCTGAAAAACTGAAGAGCATGATGACATAATACAATTAAATGCTACTTGTAAAGGCAGTAGAAAATTACTAACCGAGGTCAAGTTGATTGGTAACCTAATAGCGTACTCGTGATACATACATCAAGATATATTGATCTTGACAGTGCTACTACTAGCAAATTACTAAACTATAGAATCTCTCTGTTGAGCAATCCCTTTTATGTTGCACATGAAATTCTTGAAGTACCATCTCCTTGTCGAACTTTGCATATCCATTTCCATATTCCTGGTTCTTTTAAGGGTATATTGGCCTTACAGAAAATAAATTGTGCATAACCTTTGTCGCTTCTGATTACATCGTATGTTTTCTGAATTGTTGATTATACTTGACCAGGGGGATGCAGAGTATCTAAGATATCATGGAATGCAAGAATTTGATCGAGCGATGCAACATCTTGAAGAAACCTATGGTGTAAGTTTAGTCAAACGCGTACATGTGCTTAATTACTTAGGGCATGGGTTGTGCCATATCTGTTAGATTATAGTATGAAAAATCGGTCTACTGCTGATGTAGTTCATGACTTCTGAGCATCAATACATATCACACAAGGATGAAGGAGACAAAATTATCGTCTTTGAAAGGGGTGACCTGGTTTTTGTCTTCAATTTTCATTGGAGTAACAGCTATTCAGACCACCGAGTTGGCTGCTTAAAGCCAGGAAAGTATAAGGTATTTCCTCTAAAAATTTCTATGAAGCCCTCATAGCCTAATATACTATCTTTCCGCGCTTTCACATTTTCTTTTTAGAATTGATCTTTATTGGTTAAGTGCATGTCATAGAACTCCTCTTCGCTTATTCTTTTCATATGATAACGCTGTGTTTCTTCTTCCAGATTGTCTTGGATTCAGATGAAAAGTTATTCGGAGGCTTCGATAGGATTGATCACAGTGCTGAGTACTTCACTACTGTAAGAAAAATTTCCTTTGGATCTTCTCCAGTGCTATCATGTGTAGACTTCGGGTGAGTACTTCCCGGCTGTAAAATATTACTAACCCTCATTGTGATCTGCAGGATGGGTGGTTCGATGAGCGGCCTCATTCTTTCCTACTGTATGCACCTTGTAGAACAGCCGTGGTCTACGCCTTCATAGAGGGACCTAAAAAGGCTGATATCCGACTCTAATTCAGTTCCGGTGCTCAAAATGTCTACATCCTCCCGCACTCCTAAAACCAGACGCCCTGTACATTAGCTAATAAAAGTGCCGTCAATGTGGAATTCCACTGCCGCCTTCGGCAGTTATGCTACGCCAAAGTCGGAAGAACGAGGTTAACAAAGTAAAACCAGAACTTGAAACTGCTAAGGTGAGAGAATTTAGGCAGAAGTTTAGGAGACCAGTGTCTATCATAGGCCTATGAGAAAGTAGACATACATGGCAGTTTGTTTTCCAAGCTAGAGATTTTCTAATGTACAGATGGAGCATGTAGCTGATCGTGGTGTTACATTAGTTGGCAAACATCTGGGCTCGCCGAGTTTTGTTACCGAAAATACGATGAGTCCTTCGTGCTTGGATGGTTGTTTTTTCTTTAAAACGATGTAAGAGAAGAATTTAAACTTAAGCGCATGAGAGCGAAACTATGTCTTGACCAACTGGTCTAGCTCACAACGGAGAATCACCTTAACTTGAAAAGTGAATTGCAATTGCACATCTACGAGATAATGAGTGTTAAATTTGTTTTGGTTAAAACATACACAGAACTCGTCCAGTTAAAGTAAAATAATGAGAGCGATTTACACAAGCAACTATAAGAAGCTTGCCGGAACTGTCTGATACGGATGATAATTCAAGTGCTGATGAAGCTAGCTTCGGAGGCAGAGGCGCGGGGCAACCGATGTAAGACGCTGGTTGGCGACGAATTGGAGTTGGAAGAGGACCGCAGGGCCTCTGCAAGTGGTCCTCCCATGGAAGCCATTTGGTTTGTTGCCCACCCGGCTGGCCAATTCAAATGTGGTTGCCCACGCTCAGCATGGCTGTCCTGGTGGCCTGGCTCGACCCCATTGCCAGTAGACAATTTCAACGACACATCCGATGAGGTAGTTCCACGTATCGAAATGGAGAGGCTGGTGGCCGAGTTCATTGAGCTAGCATTGCTTCTTGCATTGTCGAGTTCTTGAAGCTTCCCCGGCCAGTCATCAAAAAAGGGCCTCAACACATGGCTGTCGGATTTTGCACTAGCGAAGACCTCACTGCAGGGCCCGAAGAGGCTCATATTCTCAGGTTTGGCCTCTGAAGAACTAAAGTTGACATGAAACACTAGCAATTACGGGCAAGAAATCAAAGTAAAAAAAAGTTTTTGAGCATATAAATAGAGCATCATGTACTTTTAGGGGCCCATGAGATTCCATAATTAAACTACCTACTTTATTAGCGTGCCCTCTCGTCAATGTTAGCGAGAAACACTTAAAAAGCACACAAAGGAAACAAAACCCGCCACCACCTATTGTGCAATGACGATTAGTGTGTTTTATTTTTCTTGTGTGTTTGATTCTTGAAGTGTTTCATACCAACATTAGCCGTTGTCACTTGTCGAGGACTACATTAATTTAATTCGACAAGTGACATCGGTTAATGTTAGTGACATTAATTTAGTTCAAATTGAATTAAACCCAAAAATAATAGCCTTGGTGGTGGTGTTTACTACCTTTGGTTGAGATGAAGAAGATCAATCGAAGGGGATGATGAAGACCCAGAAAGAGCGAAATGGGTCCCAGTAGCGGATGTATTGGTGACGGTGGTAGCATTATTAAGACTAGTGCCACTCCCTCCGCCACCAGCGGTAGTGGTGGCGGCGGTGGTTGTGGTGGCAACTTCCACAGGCTTTCTTGAACGGTTTCTGCCACGGTGCACATGGCGCTCACAGTACTTCTGACCTGCAACCACATCTCTCGAGCACCGCCATTTCTTCCCATCTGTCCTCCTGCACCTCGTTGGCTCCGGATCCATGGCAGCTCTTCCCCAATACCCTGATTGCAACACTGAAAGATAATACACATAATGATTTTTCATTAATCTCCATGCCCAACTCACTCAAATCTCAGCAAACCTGGGCTTAGAAAGTTGACTAGAGCAAGTTATGTACCCAAGTTCAAATCTTCCTCCCCGTAATTTAGATTAGATTAGAATATTAATCCACTAAATGGGCATTGTTTTCTTTGAAAAAAAAACGATATTCTAAACTACTCTAATTTATGAAAGGAGATTCGAGCTTAGGGGGCAAGAGACGAGCACAATACTCTAACTAACTAACCTAACCCGCGTTTGCAAATCAAATTGGCATTTTAAATAGATTCTTATTTGTGACAGATCTGAATAATAATATTTGGTTTAATTAAAGTTTGGAGTTAAAAGTACACATACAAGCAGGTTGAAGGTGAGGGAACTGTTGGAGAGGGTGGTGGAGGAAATAAGGAGCAGAATGGAGGCTTTTCCTGATTGGCTGAAGAAGCTCCGGAGGAACAGCCGCACCGGCCACCATGTACCTGAATATCAAAGCCTGCAGCTCCAGCTCCTGCCACTGTGACAAGCTGAAATAGCTTCCCATTTCTTCTACAGAAAACAATAATTAAATTAAAAGATTTGAGCTTTTAAAAATAAAACTTGAGAAGAAACAAGAAAAAAAGACCAGGCAAGAACATCAACTTTTCTATTCAAAGAATCAAACTTTTTCTTGTGGGTTGGATGTATGTGTGTGTGACTGAAGAAAGAAAAGGGAAAGGTTCAAGAAGGAGATAAAATCTTACTGGGAAATCTGGAGGTGGCAGGTGAGGATTCAGAAAATGCTGCTGACAGGATTTTGGTGTTGGGTTCAGGAACAAACAGAGGGAGAGCATACCCAGCAGATGGAAGCTCTGAGTTTTGATGGGGATCAAGGTCAAGTTTTGGTATCTTTGCAGAATGTTGTTCCTCTGACTCATGCTGCTGGGTTCTCCATTGCTCAAGGTGAAAGTCCATCTAGAGAGAGAGAGAGAGAGATGGGGTGGGGTTCAAGCTTGGTCTGTTTTTCTGTTGTGGTGATTAGTTGTTTACTGGGTGAGATTAATATGTTGGGTTTGTTGGGTGTGGAGATTGTTTTTTTTTAAGCTTTTGGCAGAGGTTCTGACAGAAAAAGCCTGCAAAGTTTTGTTTAAAGTGGAGTGAAGAAGCCTGAGGCACTTGAGAAAAGACAGCAGACAAGACAGATGAGAGATAAAATATTAGTATAGTATAACCCAGAAAAGAATTTTAAAATTAATTAAAAAAATTGGAAGAAAACAGATAGCTAGAGCTAGAGAGTAGAGAGAGAGAGAGGAAGAACCCTGCAGACTTTCTGCCTCACTGCAAATGCTTTGGAAATAGCAGAAGGGTGTTTTTATTAGGCTTGATTTCTAACCCAGGACCCAAGATCCATTTGCATGATATAATGAGAGAGAGGAGAGAGAGAGAGAGAGAGCAGTTACATCTTCAACCTTTATCACTCAGCTTTCGAAGTTAATGTTCTTTTCTTCATAGTTCCAGTTGGGAACAAAGTATGAACATCTTATTTGAGAAATATAATTTATGAGTAGCATTACGGTTTATTAGCATTTATCTTATTTGTAGGTAAAACTTTATGTTATATTTTCAAAATTGTATAATTAATATTTAGCTATGATCGATTGAGCGCGTAGATTAGTTCAAATTTTGAACATCTCACTTCTTTAGACCAATTGAGAATAGAAATTAAAAACCCCACAAGTACTCATTTTATACTATACTCTATCTCATTTGTCCTTTTTCTTTAATTAGATTCTTTTACTTTTGTGGCGAATTAATATCTATTGCTTTTTTTACCAAAAAATAAATAGATTTTATTGCTTTTTTCACACATGAAGAGATCTCAATTTTTCAGAAAGAAGAACTACTACACTTTTGTCTTTTCTTTTGAGATCATTTGAACAAATTTAATAGCATGCATGCATGTTCAAATCTCTGAAGAAGAAAAAATAGGAAAACTTATTTTAAGCTCTAAAAAATACTATTTTTTAATAATATTGTATGCAAGACTAAAAATTAAAAACAATTCTTTGACGCATGTTCACGTTAGCTTATACCTCACGTCAAATTTAGTTATTATTTATAAACTTATTTTTGTTTATAATTTGCCTATATTACTCTTAGGTAAAATTGTTATATGGATCAAACACTAAAAAAATTGAAAAGCAATCATAACTAATGTATGAGCCTACGAATCAAAAATGTTGAAATTGTCGGAACTAACGAACTAAAACATAAAAAATAAAAAATAAAACTGGACCAAATTGATCATACCGAATCAATCGAATCTAAACTATACGACTCACCCAATGTACTGAATCAACTGAACCTAATTGTATATAGAACCAAACAATGCAAATTCAATACTACCACTTAGTATTGCAAGCTAGTGATATTCATCTTCATGAAAAGTCCTAGGTTTGATTCTCACCAAATGCGATGTTGAACCACATTAAGGCTAAACCCACTTCTCCCCCTTTTAGTGATATTAATATTGTTTGTTAAACAAAATGCAAATTCCCCACTATGTCTGTTAACAACCGCTTGGTATGCATGGTAAAAGTAATCATGTCTGCCTAAGACAATTTTTGGATGTAAATTAGTGCATTCTCCACACAATGTCATTATGAGAGCTTTCAAAAGTGTGACTATAGAACTGGTTATACAATGTTAAAAATTTGAATAAATATCAAGAACAAAATTTTTTTTAACAAATAACAATGGGTATGTAATAGGGAATAATGATGGCATTCATGTAGACAATGAAGATGGAAGATACATTTATGGGTGATAATGAATCTATGATTACGTTTCTGAAACTTTGACGGTAGAGCTTATGTTGTGGACACGATGAAGATGACATTCTTGTAAATAGTAATATAATCTATTATATTGTTCTAACGTCTAAGTGACATGTCATCATGTATTAAAATAAAAGAGCTTTTTAGATGTAAAAAACTTTTCAGGTTATAGTTTAGAAATCGTCTTATTTAAGTAAAATGGGCTTTTAGACATAAAGCCTATGTCTAAAAGCCCCAAAAACAAGTAAGTAAAAAGGTATCTCACTGCACAAGCAAGCTATCTTCTTATTTATGCAGCTCAATACTATATGAGATAATTTCATATCTATAATTTATGTGTCAAATGGTATGCCAAAGAATAACAGGTGACCTCAAAAAATCCATCTGTGGAACAAAGCCAAATTGAGAATCCTAAACCGTTGATCGCTTTCCACTCCGTAGAATTAATCCGTAAAAGTAAAACAAGTAAACAAGAGGGGAGCAAGCAAAAGTGGTAGAACTAGAAAGTGGTCGGTTGTGGGGTGGGAGGGGGTGAGGGGGTTGGGGTGCCTTCTCTTTCCCAGCTGTCTTCCTCCTCCTCTTTCTTTCTTCTTCTTTTTATTCTGTGTTACTTTTTAATGCGTTGGACTGATTTGACCAACTTAATATCTACAACTGTGTCGACATGACAACTCAATTCCACACAACGCCATCGGCACCTACTCACCTAGTCCTTTGACAAAACTTTCCACCTTGCCCAATGCCTGCATTATAGTAAACTGTAGCTATGAGCCTTTAACTTTAACTTAATTGAAGTAATGGTTCTTCAACTAAAAATTCATTACTATTGGTCTCTCAACTCATCAAAACGTACAACTATAGTCCCTCAACTAAAAATTCATTACCATTGGTTCCTCAACTTTAATTTAACTGGAGAAATAGTCATTTAACTTTAACCCAATTGTAGCAATGATCCTTCTAACATAACTCGTTTTGACAAAAATTTTGACGTAGTTGACGAAAATAATCATAATTACACACTTTGATGAGTTGATAGACCCTAATTATATAAATGGTTATTCCAACATAACTTATTTTGACAAAATTTTGACAAAATTGATGAAAATGACTATAGCTACACATTTTGATAAGTTGAGAGACCAATGGTAATGGATTTTTAGTTGATGGACCATTGCTCCAATTTGATTAAAGTTAAGGGATCATTGCTACAATTTACTCGCCTGCATTATATTCCAGTCTACCTACTTTCGGTCTTCGTTTCGCTAGGAATAGGATTGTCTCCCTTCTTATTACTATCTATTTCTATCATCTCCTCTCACACTCTTCTTTTTGTTTTATTCTTCATTTATAATTTTTAAAACAAGATATAAACGTGGCGTAATCGTAACCGTTTAAATAGAAGATGATGGAAGGGAAGAGAGATTAAAATGGGACAGAATCCTACTCCGTTTTGACAGATTTTATCTTTCAAGTTTTCAACTAATGCTAATTCTAGTTATATTATTCTACTAATAGATGTTTGTCACACGTTTATTAAATACTTGTTCTATACAATATTTTTAGAAGTGTGATATTCACACACCTTATTTGACTTTTCTCACAATATTTTAATTTTCGACTGTCAGATCGGATGAATTGAAGAGAATTAACGGATATAAATTAACCAATTATGTCTAAAAAGTAAAATAAGATATGTGAATAGTACATCTCTATTTTTAATTACAAGTTTCTTTCTTTTACTTTCGCAACCAAATTTTATATATTCTATTATTTCGTCAATACTTTTACATCAATGCTCCTCGAAGTTTGGATGTTACTTTGATATATGAACTTTCAATTTTGTTTTCAACTCCCAAAAACTTGTATATAGTTCTTGTTAAATTTTGTGACCTTGATTAATTTTACGTACATTGTCCAGCTAATGGATGTTTTTTTACATGTTTAAAGATACATCACTCGTCAAATACTTGTTAAAAATAATGTCTTCTGTCACAAGAGAGTTTCTTTCCTTCACTTATGCTAGCAAATTTTACACCTTTATTTCGTGAATACTTTCTACAACAATGCTCCCCAAAATCTTGATGTTCTAGTTTGATCTTTGAAGTTTTTATCTCGTCTTGAAGTCCCGTAAACTTATGATTCTTGTTAGGCCATCTCTAACCAAATCTGCTAAAATGAATCATGGTTAAATTTAACCAAGAGCTAGGTACATATCCCTTATACACCTCGTAGGCCCCAACATATGCATTATAAACCAAAATAAATAAATAAAATTTAACACTGAATAGTTGGAGATGAAAAATTTTAAACCTACAATAGTATTAATTTTCAAAAGACTATATAATAAAGGGAATTTTAACGAAAAACTCCCAGTATTGTTTACTTTAACGAAAAACCATATTTTTACACTAAAAAGTTAATCATGATACTATTTATTTCATCATTTATTTTATCTTTATCGTTAAAACTCAATTTTTTCAAACAATTTTCATTAGTTTTCCTTAGAGAAATTTTATTTGGACCCAATAAACTTATTTCTACACCCATTAAATTTTTGTTAAATTTCATATTCCAATTATGCCCTAAAGAAAATATGGGTGTAGAAAGATATTATCAACTGGCGAAAAATCCAACCACAATTGGCTGCCGGAAATTGGAAAATGGATTACCGGAGGGTGGAGAAGAACATCAAAAATATAGTGGAGGGCGGTTGTGGTCTTCGACGACACCAAGAGAATGCGTCGCCAGAGAAGCTAATAAAATCTCATCAAACCCTAATTTATCTCGTTCATTAACTCCATAGCCAAGGTTGAAGGATCCAAGGATTGTGCGTGCGTCTCGAGCTTTTGGAGGAAAGGACAGGCATAGCAAGGTTTGCACCATAAGAGGGCTTCAAGATCGGCAGGTGAGGCTATCGGTACCCACTGCAATCCAATTGTATGATCTTCAAGAAAGGCTTGGTCTTAACCAGCCTAGCAAGGTTGTCGATTGGTTGCTTGATGACGACCATAATCAAGTCCGGTTGTTGCCAGGGTAGGTGATTGGGTGGGTTTATGTGTTTGTGTATTTTTTTCAAGTTTGTAAATTTGTATTTGAAGGTAGAATGGTAAGTTTGTGGGATAAAATTTCTAAGTTGGATGTGGAAAGAGGATTAATGAGTTTAAATAAAATTTCCCTTTTCCTTATAACAAATTTACGATCGGCCCTACGTTACCGGAGATGACCCTATTGTCTTCCCAAATCGTCCAATTGTCACATTAGGAAATTTTCCATACATTTGAACTGGCAGAAAGAATCATGAACATCTGTCTTTTTTCTGTTTTCAATTATTCAAATTTTCAGAGAGGTCAGAGGCATTGCCTGCATCTACAGTATCTGTACAACTGAACCAAACTTGTGTATACAGTTATATATGTATTCTTGTACCGACGAACGAAGGTCAACTTCGATCGAGCTCACTACTTTAATGCATGTGTTTTCTAGTTCTCTACTCTTTCACTGTCGATTACTATTCTTTGCTATCAAATCAAAGCATGTTTTTTGTTCATTGCTAATTTAAACTTAGCTAGGTTAATCATGGTTAACAATGAGTCTTAAAGACTTTATTTTTATCAACTTTTTGTCACTTCATAATTTAACGTTTATTTCATGTCAGCATAATAAAATATTGGGTAAAAGACTGTTTACTACCCTCATGTTTCATG